GTTTATTACATCAGTGCATTGCCATTTTCTTGATATATAGGTATATGAGGTACTTATTTTGCATAAGAGCAGTATAAAATCCACAAATTAATTGTTTACATCTTCGTTAACTATCTCATTGGGACTCAAGACCCACGTGTTTTACATAAAAATATGCTCTGAACCCATCCCTCATTACGTGCCTCAACCACCACCACACACATGTGACTATAGTATAGTCACATGTGCGTGGTGTTGACTTTTCCTGGTTCACACATGCTGTAACCAACAATTAGCGGAGGTACACTGAATGTATGCTTCCCCCTGGAAGGCGACGGTAAGGGGAGATTGTCAAACGGCATGTATGAATCGCTGTCGATCACATTCTCAGCACTTAATGATGTGGCAGTTTTTTGTGCACATTCCTTCCTCAGTGAGGCATACTGGTCAATCCTTGTAGGGCACTTTTCTCTGATGGTAGCCTCTTTGATCAATGGGCAGGGAGGTTCGGGAACTGTGTTGGAACTGCTCCCTCAAGCAGTTCAGGCCTGGTTCTGTCAGTTCGGACGAGCTCGCATTTCAAAGTGTGCTCAAAGTATCTAGAAATGAACCTGTCACCAAAGTTGAGTTTACACACTGCACAATTTTCTTTCGGTGCAAGGAACAGTGCGTTGCCACTGTGCGAGCAAGGCTGGGTCCTTCGATATACCAAACAAAGACAGTTAAATCTATTAGACTTATACAGTCGCAGACCGATTCTTTTTACCTGCGGGGACCGGAAAATAGTCTGAAAAAATAGTCAAGCTGTGAAAATGAAGTTTATTCAGATTGAAAAAAGCCTTAAAAAAAAAAATCCCCAATAATGCCATGCTCCACGCTGTTATTGGGAACAGGCAAATTTTGTTCTATTTGAGCTACGGCAACGTCGCTGGCAATCGCCTTGGCAACTGCTGCCGCCAACCGTTGCGGGCGACAAAGTTGGTGGCTCCATGGAACCAAGCAAAACAAAACTTGATGCCGCTCGCAAAAAGATGCATGCTACTTCTCGCCTGTTTGGTGAAATTTAACAACACCGTATGGGCTTCTTTCACCTGCTCCGACATCACACAGTACGCCTTTAGCGTTTCGGCACTATCAAAATGCTACCGCGATCCAACGCGTGTGTTCTAGGAGTAGCCGAGCATCGTGACCACAAACCACCATGTGTTCTGTGTGCCTACTGAGCAACCGGGAGCAGCAGCGAGCATGTGATGCGCACGATGGCTCAAACACATTCAACACATTAATAACATGACCACGTGCGCAATGACAACCAGAAAAACAAATGCCCAGAAAATAAAAACAACCTACCGGCGTACTAATGATGATGATAGGGCTCACTGAAAAAGAAAAGTTTTGCAGTTTTGCCAGCCAAGAAAAAATTAAATATGGCCAGCGAAACTGGAAGATTGTGCGCGCTCCTAATCTTGGAGGCCACACAACTAGCCACTGCAAGCCAAACTTGACCAAACCAACAAAAAATTCAACATGGCAGCTTTCAAAATCGACCAGCATAGCTCAAAACGACCAATTTAGTCCAAAAAATCAAACTTTGGTGCATAAATTAATCCAAAAAATGTGTCGCGAAAATGCATTAGTGTAATGGGAATTTTTACGGTGCATTTGTGAAATCCAAAATATCCAACGAGTTCAAATTTTTGGAGTCCGAAAAATCTGTCGGCGACTGTAGTGTGTCGTACACCAAGTCATGAAACAGTGACTGTGCCTCTGCGGCATGGCTACAGAAGACGGGGTGAAACTATGCATGCAGCTCCGTAAAATTAACCGCACGCACATGGCACTGAATGAAAAAAAACTGCGCTTTTCAGTGCGATGGAGCTTCAGCGAGTGAATGCGGAAGCAAGCACCCCCACACGGTTCCCTCTCCTCAGGCTTCAGCGCCTCCCATAGGAGCTGCTCGCCGGTCGTCACACATTTTCCTTTCTAGCCACTGTACTTGCGCATTCAAGGTCATGATGCGCACTTATATGAAGTCTTTCCCAGTGCCATCTCTTCCTGTGTAGCTTGCTGTGTGCTCGTTAGGATGAGAGAAAAGAGGAAGCATTCAGAGTGAATTACTAATCCCTGTAACTCCGCTCATTCTTGACGTATTGGAGAAATTTTTGCGGCAATCGCTTCATGAAGTAGTAGACTCTGATAGTGAGGTCATTCAATGTCACTAAAAAAAGTGGTTCAAGACCGCTTTAATAGAGCTTGCGTGACATGCACTGACTTGTCTTTTTACAAGGTTTAGGCAGCACTCGTTCGTATTTTTGTCCATGAAATTCATCTTGTGTCCTTTTAATTTTTTATCTGCCGTATTGGCTTCAGTAAGGCTGCTTTCAAACTATCAGAACATAATGTGTATGGGATTGCAAGATTTGCTATCAGAACAAACGGATATAGTCATGCTGTTGAGCAAAAAAAGAAACCTGTGAACATTTCTTAACTGCTTTTACATCACAGCAAATGCATCAGCCCAATCTTCTGATGATTAGTAATATGACAAATAATCCTACATAATGTCAATACAACACACAGAGAACATAATACACACAAAACAACCAAACACAAGCTATGTACCACAAATGTAAAGTCGCTGATGTCCACTCGCCACGAGGGCCTGCAGTAGCGAGCTGCAGTATTGCACCCATGGACCCCCTCTCAGGAGCCAGCAGTTGCTAACCGTGCCAAACCCCAAAGGAGAAAGAAGTCTTCCTCAAGTGCAGCGAGAAAGAAATTTTCCATAGGTGCTTAAATAACCTCGCTCCTGCCAGAGGCGCTGCTGGCACCACCATGTCAGTCTCGCACACCGCAGGGGTGCTTTTATGCAAGCTTTCTTTGCTCTAGGGTGAGGACATGCAGCGTCTACTGGGGCACAGCTGCCATATTCGTGCCCACGACATCTTGCCAACGTCTCACTTCTTTACGGCCAAAAATGACATCACAGCGGCGGCACCCCATTCAAAGAATGGCAACACCATGAAGGGGCTGTTAGCATTGAGGCACTGTACACCACGTGAGCACAGTGCCGCCTCTCGCTCAGCTGTGTTTAAGTTAACTAATTTGCTGGATGCATGTGTGCCACGAGGCAAAAACAACTTTGCAGGGGATGATAGCACCCCCAAACGTTCTATTGATTCCCAAGGTTATCCTGAACCTTCTTAGTATGCATTCAATACCAGGATGCATGTTTGCGTACTTTCTGTAAAAAGGGCACTGAGCTTCATTTAATGTAGCTGGCTTGTTTTAATTCACCTACTTAAGTGTGTTGTATTAGATGTCATAGTGCAGTACTTGAACACTTTGTTCAATGCCTGTGTTCCCATAACATGGAAAGTAATGTACTTTTTGTGTTTGTCGTGAAAAGTTAAACAGCATTCAGGCTGCATTATGTTCATGTGGAAATTGGATAAGAAACGTTTGCGACAACATGGTATCAATACCACAAAAATTTTGGCCATGATAAAGAAATAACTAATAGTAATACGACTACTGCATGCGCTTGTTAAGTTAAACTCTGACCGATAGAGCTAGCAGATTTTGAGATGTGTGTAGTGTACTAATATCTATATCTTACTTTTTTTTTTCAAAAAATTTTGAGTTGTCGGTTTAGCATCTTGTTTCTTGACCAGTTTCATCCTTGTTTTTGGCGTTGCCACCCATCATGAACTTTGACCAACTTGCCCAACTCGTACCGCTCTTTTGAATGGAACTGCAGTTGAAAGGCCGTATGGATATTTGGCACATATGGATGGGTACTTAAACACCACGGTGGATGGAACCACCTGCTTGCCTTTGGTGCTCATACCAGTGTAGACTACCATTGATCCTGTTAAGAGTGGAATCTGCTTCTGCATAGTTATGCTCGAACGTGCCCAGAGGTTGAGGGATCACATTTCAAAGTTAGTCAGTGGGTTTATTGTGCATGATTTATTTGTATTTCAAAGGTGCCATCGTGACAAAAGGTAAGGCATGTAGATAGGGGCACAAATTAAGGGAACCAGGCAGCAGAAACATTGGCTATAAACTCTTTCATAAATCCCTATTAGCTAGCTCAATTTCTGTCTCTGGAAGGGTGTCTACAGAAGGTGGCAAGATCGAAACTGGGCTCTCCATGGATGCTCCTGAGTTAGCAGCAGGCGGCAGGCTTGTGAGAATTTGCTCAAGATATTGTCGTATATAGGAGTTCTTATGGGCATTTCGAACCAATAATTGCAAAGACTTACATAATAACTACCTCAAGTAATGTCATCAGTTCACGAGTCTCTATGATAACAGTGTTATTTATTGAATCAGCTATAGATCTCAGCAATGCTGGCCTGACACAGTTGCTCAACTTCCCATGCAACTGCTTTTGAACTGATTTTCTCGTAAAGGAAGTTGATACACACAAGTATTGAAGCAGCCTAAATATGCAGCACCAATGTCACCGAAAAAGTTGTTTTAGTATACAAAACAGTTATGCCGCCATTAATGTTTAATAAGTGCATATGCATCGCTGAAAAAGCTTGGGGCAAGGTTAAAAAAATTTCTAAAAGAATACAATGTCCCCCCCTCCCCCCCCTACCTTCTTGGGTGGTTCTGGTAACAAAATCTTGAAAACACATACTTTCATAGGTTGGCGGGCAAGGAAATACTTATATACAGTCGGCATAGGTACCACCGACCTATCATTATCACACCATCACACACAGAAAGTTTTGAAACTATTATGCTGATTATGGTAGCATTAAGAAAAGGTTGTAGAGTGTTGCAAGCATTTCTCGTGGCTGCTGCAGCAGTTACATGAACAGAGGGAGCTAATTTATGATGGCATGACACGTCACTCTCGCAAGTACAAAAACTGGTTCATAGAAACACTCACTAGAACATTTAGGCAGTTGGAGTGCTTGCTAGTATTTATTCAGGGGTGTAGACTTTGGTAACATAAAAAACAAAAATATTGCTTGGCTCAAAAATTGTGCACTCATTCCATTCAGACTGCTGCTGCCGTTTGAGCTGCACCTGCGTGGTGAGGATCGGCCACCATGCTGGCGGCTGGACGAGGCGCCCTCAGACTGCCATGTGCTGGACCTGAGCATGCGACGTGAGGCACCCACGCCACCCCAGTGCCTTGACTTGCGTGTGCACCGGCGGGGCGATGAGAACTGTGGTGCACTGCAGGGCAGCCCGCTCTACTCTGTGTACCGCCTTGAAGATGCATGGTAGCCTACCAGTGCAATGCTGCCTGTTTAAAGGGGCTTTCCAACACTTTTTGACCATGGTCAGAAAACACTGCCGATCGGTAGTAGAGACTCCCGACAACAGGCGAGCCAAATATTATAGCACAGCATGCGGCCTGGAATTCACAATAAATGATCAAAGTCAGTTAAAAATTGTTTTCTCTTCTCTCTCCACGCGTGCGCACGCGATCACACTGAAAAAGTTGCGCATTCGAAGAAAAGAAAAAGAAAAAAGTGCTCAAGGTCACAAGACGTGTGTGACGTTTTTCTGTGGCCCTGTCATACCTCTCTGCTTAGCTTTCAGCACTTTCATCAGGACGAGAGAAGAGAGATGCAATTACAGCATGCGACAAACCTTTGTAACTCCACTCAAACTGGATGGATTCTTAAAATTTTTGCGGTGTTGAATTCGTAATTCAATAAGCCCTTCCAGTGAATTCATTCCATGGTTACTTGAAAAAGTGTTTCAGGGCCCCTTTAAGGCTGGTGGCGCCTTCACTTCCCTTCCGCTCCACCCCTCCAACGCACAAAAACAGATGCAACAATGGCACATCCCAGCAAGCCTCAGGGGGCACAGATATGCCAAGCTTTTTAAATAAATGGTTTTTCTGCAGATCATAAACATTTGTAACAGATGCAGTGGCTACAAATATTTTCAGGAAAGTACACAGCCAAGGAATCAGTGATGCATGCTATCGTGGCTTGCGACCAAGGTGAGCTGCAATGGTGATACTATCGCATGATCAAGAATTTAGGTGATTGGATGCATTGCTTATGGCACCATTAAAAATAGTACCTTTTAATGAATAAAGAGAAAGTTCTTTCATCATTATTAAAAATAGTTAAGCACTTGTTGTGGAATGCTAACACTAAACATGAAAATTGTGGTGAAAAGAATGTGGATTTCCATTATATACTGAAATTCAATATATATTCACATGCGTGAGCCTGTTTTTTAACCACCATGTTTCACATGCTAAAACTTCATGAACATGAAGTGTTGCTGGTGATAACGAATTCGACGAGCGAGCTTGTTTGCTTCAAGGCTGCAACTGCTTTCGTTAGTGCATGTGCATAGATGCTTCGTGCCATCTCCTCCAACCCAAACAAAAGTGGAAAAAAGGGCAGCTGCAGAAGGTGGGTGAGGGGCAAGGGGCAGGAGAAAAAAGGGGGCGGCTTGATGAATTGATCGATTCATAAGGAAAGTGGAAGCAGTCGGTGAAAAGAAAGTGCTGGGTGGTTGGAGGCATTTGTGTCGAAAGGTAGAACAAAAGGATAGCATTTTGTTGAATTGTGGCTGCTTGACCTTGATATTCCAATTTTTCTAACAATGATAATTTCACGTTGATAGGCATGGTTAGAAATTCCTAGACTAAAGGCTTATTTCTCACTAGTCTTCATTGCATATGTACCATAGCCGATAGATTCAAAAGACCCCTTTGAAACATTTGTGTCTGTTGACTGGAGAGTATCAAACTTGTGAATAAGGAATGACTCTATGTTATCTGTCTATCGGGGACCGAAAGTTTGACTCGAGTATGCAAAGCTTAAGATCGTCGAAATTGGGACCTGCCACCTCAAAATGCTGTGACACTGCTTTCAGAAATTTCTTAACTGTGTCTGCACGAAGTCTGTTTAATCTAGTATTGGCAGGCTGTCCTGTTTTGCCAATGTACTTTGTAACAATATGAACTAATCGAAGTGGACGATTGGGCTAGGGCCTGCGCTCGTCCCCATCTAATTTTGTCCTTGTTCTCTACTGTGCAGCATACGTCGACAGTATGAACATCTGATTATGTACATAACTTTTCAACCAATGCAAGTATGGCTATATTTTATATGACAGACGTAATCACTTTTAATAATTTTAACTACAATTTCATTTTGAAGGTGTTTGCAAGTCTTACATCTGGGATGACAGCAAGGAGTTATGCAGGCACTATAATGCGGGTTTACTTTTGCATGCACTGACATGTCCTTGAAGTTCCTATCATGGTGATGCAAGATGTTTGGTACTCAGGAAAACAGTGTTGTAAGGCTCTTGTTGCCTGGTGATATCGGGTAATACTTGCGAAGCATAATATTTGTGTTCAGGAGTGCACTTGAATATTTAGTTATAAATGCTAGTGGCTGGTTGGGCTGTTTTGGGGGCTCTTCAAGTGCTGATTTTCTCCCTAGTTTACATGCTTAATTGTAGACCTTGTTCACAATGTTTTCATCTCTTCAAGCTTTCATCTTTCTCAAACTGCCGCCTTCTATCGGCTAAACTGCTACAAGTGTTATCACTCGGCATAAGCTACATCATACATTCTCAAATGTTTTTGGGGCGAAGCTCCTTAAGGCGTGGGTCTGTAGATCCTCCGATGTATGTAGTTGTAGTAAGTAGCCACCGGTGGCATATACCCGCTCTAGAGCGGGTATGTGCCACAGGGGATGCAAAATGGGGGTACTTAGAGTGTGCACTAGATGGACGCATGGACGGACGGACAGACAGACTAGCAGACGGACGGAGGCGCGGGCACACAGATGGATGGAAGCAAGAATGAATGGACCGGCGGAGGCGCGGACAAACGAAAGCACGGACGGGCTGACAAAGGCTTCGCCCCCCTCATCATTCACTCGGTGGATATGCTGCGATTTTTCTGAGATTGTGTGGTTATATATATATATATATATATATATATATATATATATATATATATATATATATATATATATATATATATATATATAAGGGAAAGAAGTGTATACCTGAGGGCTCGATTTGACACAAATAATGAGATATAACAGACAATAATGCTAAGGAATGTATAGGGGAAGTTATTAGAACCAATGTAAAGTAAATAAGAACAAAGAAAAGTGGGTGAAAAAATAACTTGCCGTGAACAGGAATCGAACCTATGACCTCCGAATAACGCGTTCGATGCGCTCTCTCTTTCTCTCTCTCTCTCTCTCTCTCTCTCTATATATATATATATATATATATATATATATATATATATATATATATATATATATATATATATATATATATATATATATATATATACACACACACACACAGTAACACTCCGGTATCTAAAAGTTGTGTGTGTACACACACACGTCAACAAAACATTTCTAGCCTTCAAACAATCACAGCTATTATGAACCTTTCAGGAGTGCCAGCAAATACACTGGAATGCATTACCTGTGGCTTTCAGACTTTTTCATAGTTAACTCGGGAACTATCTTTATCTTGAGCATGAAGTAGGGTGCTTCCAGAAGTAATTTAGCCAAATTTTTGCAGTTGCCATTTGAAATTATTCACATGGGATTTATCTAGACCACCGTGTTGTCTCAGGTGATGAAGATCTCATGGAATTCTGCCCACAAGTACTGCGAGATGACAGTAGAATAATCAGAGGTAGTATTGACATTGTAGCCTATGGATTGCCTCCAATAACAAGTTCCAGCCATAATCTTACTACCCTAGCCTTGGCATAGATGTTGAGGCAAAGAGGCATGTATGCAGCTGCTTAATTGTGTGTCTACTCCTTCCCCTCTCCCATCCCTTCATGGGCGTCGGCAGCGGGGTGCAAAAGGGGCACTTGCCCCCCCTCAAGTCTCACTTGCCCTCTCCCAATTCTACACCAGTGCTTTCCTCCTACCCCAGCTGCGATGTAACACTGGTTCGCACCCCCCAAGAGATTATCCTGCTGACGACCATGCACCACTCCTTCTTCTTCCCCTGTAGTAGTCGAAGTAGGCACGCAGTGCTTGCAAGAAAAGTGAAGCCTTTGAAAAATTAAGTTACTAATTAATGAATTGTTAAAACTGCCAGTCCTTAACTGTAGTTTTCTTGTGTGCATTCAGTGATTAGTTGTATATAGATGTTATTTTTGTTGACAATTCCTTATTCTAAAAAAACAAATGATTTTAAGAGACAGCAGAGTGAAAATTAAAAAAATTAATGGGGCGCTGAAATGATATGGCAAATCAGGTTAGGCTTGCAAATTATTTGTTGTTATCCCGTAATTATGAATTTGTTATTGAAAGAGAAAATGAAACTAAATGGTACAGTTTTAAATGTCATACCAATATATCCTTATGCATAATTTATCAGCATGACACCACAAATTTAAAAGGGCTTTCAGAGTGCATCTCTTAGATGCCCATTACTGCATTGAGGTTTGGCATACCTTATTGCTCATTGTAACAGAGTTAATGAGCATATCAAAAGATTAAAAAAAACATTGAAGAGTGCCATATAGTGTGTGCCCCTACCAACGAGAGTTGAAAATGCAGCCTTGTGTCATGGCATTGTCTTCTTTTGACATAGCTGTGTTCTCTGTGCATCTTGGTATAACTTTTTCTCGATGAAAGCGCATGTGCATTGAAACCTTTCAATGAAAAGACATACTACTGGTGCTAATGTACATATACACGTCATGTTCACCTTTTGCTTCTTTATAATGTTCAAAAGGATAAAGCAGCATTGAATGACAACTTATTATGCTAACTAGTATGAAAAGTATGTTACTTGTGGTGAAACGCGCACAATTAATGCTGCTGGGATTTATGTTGCCTGGCGAAATGGAAAACATTCATACAGATGTGCTCACATTTCGCGTTACGGAGTATCGTAATTGTCAGCAATTTTTAAAACAAGTATTTAGCCACATTTGCACAATAAATTTTTCTGAAACTTGTTTTTTTTGAAGGACAATGTACAGTGTTTTTTTTTCCTGTGAAAGGAAACACGTGAGCATGTGGCCTGCGGTAGCAGCAGCTGCTTACAGCTCCTTCATGTTGGAGCGAGAGCAAGCATGGCTGCTTTCCGTGACCTCTATTGGTCAGCAAAACAGCCAGGCATTGTTGATTGGCAAGTGCCAATAAAAAAAAGTACAACTCCTTCCCCTTTCCAGATAACACGAGAGGTCGAGCCTGCAACGCATCGTCTGCCCCTTGCAAATTACGCCTGGCACGAAAGTGCACTAAAAACGTGGCTCTGCCTCTTGGTTTAGAAGTGCTGCTCTTCACCTAATTTAGAACAATTTAAGGAGAGATGAAAGTCAAAACACGTTTTTTTTTAAGTTACATATATATAATTTTTATTTGGTAAAAATTTCTTTTAAAAAGCAGTAGGTAGCTAATAAAACTGGCTGCTTGCCATTGCATTTCGCATGAGCAGTTCACCTAAGCCACATGCTCAAAATGACCATAATTCCCAAGCTACCATGATGGAAAAAAAAAATCATTAATAAATATATATCTTTGCTACATAGACGAGCTTTCACTTATACCTTTAAAATGAGTTTTCTCAAGATCCATTTTTGGGCAACTTCTTGAGTTTTGGCATTATGTTTTTGGTCCTTCCGATAGCTAGACCAGGATGAAATATGGCCCACATATTGCTTAACATATGAAGAGTGTAAGTATCTTCTTTAAAAACTTGACATCACCTACATAATTATTACAAACCTAAAGTAAGTAATTCGTATGGGCTGAGAATACTGATACTTCTCACATTATAATTTTTCTTGTCCATTAAAATGTCTTACATGCACTTTCTTGTTAGTTATTTGTATTGTAAGTTAATGTGGAGCAATATGAGTTAATGGCCCAGAACGATAACAGTTTTATGGCAGAAAAAAATTCTCCAAGAAGAACTACATGTTATACATTGTCATGGTACAAAATGAAAACTATGCAACTTACACAGCGAAAATTCCATTGCTCTAGGCTACAGATTGAGGAAACTTTTTTTAAGCAACAGCGCTAAAGCCATGGGTGGTGCATTGGTGATTTCTCACTTCGAAAGCCTGTCATTAAATGCTGTGAAAACCTTTTCGTCATTGCTTCATTGATTTGCTAGCCAAAAGTATATATATATATTGTCCTGCTGACATTGTGAGCAATCACTACAAAACGAAGGCCAATGCAAGTGTGCATGCGAGGCAATATTACACTGATGGTATACACAAGCTGGTGCTAACCAAAGTACTCACACTACTTTGCTCTAAGTTTTCACGTTTCAAACTGTGAGGCCTGTCTTTTACTCTTGCCAGTTGTGGACTATGTAGCTGCAGCAGATGCCGTCAAAATCTGGCACATTACGAATGATTGGTGCTGGTACCTGGAGGTGGTGGTGTCGCACGTATTTTCTTTTTGTATGTTCTGGTTTACCAACTGCTGTCTTTTATGAAGAGCGGTGTTTTTGATATTGTGAATGGGTAATTAACTTATAACAAGAAAAAGTTTTTTTGCTCAGAACCCCTCTAAGTTTAATATGGCCGTATTTGTTTACATTAAGCATTAGAAAGTACAAAAAGAGGCCATTTAAGTAGCAAGTGCCTCAGATTGTACAGTGATCATGAATTAGAATGCAATAATTTAGGGTTATATACTTCTAGGGTTGTGCAAATATTCGAGCACTTCGAATATTAGAAAAAATATTTGAATTGGCTTCAATTCAAACTTCAATTATTGGAAATTTTGAAGTATTTGAAATGAATGAATAGGTGTACGTAAATTTGCGTGTAGCCCCCCTCCCTCTTTGAAGGTAGTTTCACTGCAGTGGAGGGATCCTGTACCATTGCCCCGCCGTGGTGGTCTAGTGGCTAAGGTACTCGGCTGCTGACCCGCAGGTCGTGGGATCGAATCCCGGCTGTGGCGGCTGCATTTCCGATGGAGACTGAAATGTTGTAGGCCCGTGTGCTCAGATATGGGTGCACGTTAAAGAACCCCAGGTGGTCGAAATTTCCGGAGCCCTCCACTACGGCGTATCTCACAATCATATGGTGGTTTTGGGACGTTAAACACTACATATCATCATTATCATCATCCTGTACCATTAATACACCTTTCCAAGGAAACTCTGCACAGCTGCAAAGCCCTACTTCAAGGTTCAATGAATATACTACCCTCACATCAATTATTCCTTCAAATTCAAAAGCTTTTACAGTGAAAGCTGTTACGAGATCACAACGGGTCGTGTCCGCCGCCTATGTCCATTATCACTATCACATGAAATAAGGAAGAAAAACTTAATATATAAAAATACCAAGAACATGACATGATTCGAACTCGGGTCTTTTGCGTGCCAGACCAGTGTTCTACCACTGAGCCAAGCTTCTACCACTGAGCCAAACTGACCCTAGGCAGCCTTGATGTCGGCAAAGGATCCGCGTTAATATAAGTAATAAAGCGTTTTACAACTAGGAACATCCAGGCATCGGACAATGCGCCTTCCATAACAAGTGGCTGGGGTCATCGAATTCTCCAACCCCATTACTAAAGCTTCAGGCACAATTCTTCGTCATCCGCCTCAGCATCGAAAAAATGCAACGAAATTTCTTGCAAGTGTGTAGCACGTACCATGCTTCTCTAAAGCATGGCATAGCGAATGCCTGCCTACTACACAAAAATTATGATTTATGGTATAGTGGGTACCCTGCAAGTGTGGTTGTAGCCGTTTCTCTGAGTGTTTAAAAAAAAGGTTTTGAAAGGCCGCTCTTCCAGCTTTCGCTGTGACTGTGCTGCACGTTCCGTGCAGGCCTGGTGGTTTTATGCTCGAAGTATAGCAAAAATGCAGCATATTTTACAGGTTATCACTAACATTCTACCGAAAGTCAAATCATGTCACTATTCAAAAATGCTTCGTTTTTTTTTTAACCAAAAAGAATGACAATTGTACACTCGTTTCAATTAACAAAAAATGATATTGCACAGGTTAGTACGTCATGACAAATAAGCTCATTTTTATTTTAGGATATATACTATATAAGTTGATCCGAAATTATTTTAACTGAACCACCATTCGCTCCGTGCCTAAAATTTACTATTCGCACAAGCTTATACATTTCACGTACTTTCATCTCTATTGTGTTCAGTTCATGTCAGTGTTGCAATTTCAAGTTGAACACTAGCATCAGAGATTACTACATCACTTTTTTCATTACATCTTTCAATATCTCCCATCTTGTTCCCATATTTAGGGTAGCAAAGCAGTTGTCCTAAACTGGTTAAACTCCCCACCTATAATGCACTAATCTTGAGCAGTTGAACATACCAGTTATGTTAAAAAGTTTTGAGATCACATCTCTATTTGTGAGCCCTGTACATGCTGAACAGTTGTCTACCCATTGGCAGTGAGCAGCAACCCCCAAACTTCATTCTACAGGTTTGATTGTTCTTTGGATACCTGCTGCTCAATGTGATGTTTGCTTTTGCGTTGCATGCTAAAGATGCTTTGCTTCCATGTTCTCTACACAAGCCCTTTAGTATTTAAAAGAGTGGCCACTGTTTTCATGCCTCTATGTGGCACACATTTTTTCCATGGAAATCCGAGAATGGAGACTGCAGTTTTGGATAGTGCTTTTGCACTTACATTCTCCAAGCATGTGAAAGCAATGAGGTGTTGCAGCGGCAAAGCTAACAATAATATGTTTTGTATCCTTGCGGAGAGAACCACCACTTATCACCTGCAGGGAATTCGGCTTAATGCTTGGCACTCCAAGTCAGCGATGTAGCAAGAAACTAATTTCAACCTTGTACACACATTCTGCATGTATACGTACAGGTGCTTTATAAATTTTTTTTTTTCTGTCAACAACCTGACCCGACTGAATGAAATTTACCAAAACTCTGCTACCAGATATGTAAAACTGACAAGGCGAATTGTAGCTTCAAGAGACTCGAAAACCTAGGCATAAAGACACTATATTTAATAAAACAGAAATACCACAAAGTATTGGACAAAACTAATGAAACAAAAGGTAATGAATGCACGAACACCAAATTTGTCTTCTAACAGAGCACCATATGCGGCCTGACACGAAAAAATATGGTGCACTGCACATTTTCCACCATAAACGAATGAAATTCAGAAAAAATGCACTGCCAAATTTTTAATGTTTGTTTGCAAAACATGATAATTCTCAACGTGAATGCGAGCAGAAAGAGGTCTGCATCAGAGTGCAAATAAGTCTTTGATCAAGGACTTGTTCAGCCAAGTCAAACATACCAACACTGCGGCTTTGCACGATTTATAACTTTCATGCCATCTCACATATTACAGTTCATCACGCCAGAATATCTATCGGGCAGCCATGCATCAACCATCAGTATCGCGAGGAGTTGGTCGATTTCATAGTTTACTGTACACTCAGAAATGAATAAGCCGGGCATCGGAAGGGTTCTGCTCCACCGGGCAGTAGGGACACTTGAGCTTGCTGCCACTGGCCAGCTTGTGAAGGGCGTCGCGCGAAATGACGTGTCCGCAGACGAGCCTCATGGGCGGGTTGGTATCGCTGCTTTGCTGGCGCAGTATGGGGCAGGCGAACACCGAGTGGAACTGACGGCTCAATCGGATCTCGATGGGGAGCTCGTCGCGGGAGCTCCACACGCCGGCCACCTGGCGCTGCATCATCACTTGCTTGATGTTGAGCAGCGCAGGCAGGGCCAAGCTGCCTGCCTCGACGCACACCGCCAACGGGCTGCGCACCGACAGGCCAAGAAGCGCGCAGGCATCGCGCGTGAACGCTTCGCACGTGTCGCTCCAGAGCGTCGGCTCGAGCAGAAAGGCGTACGGCGACCGCGATAGGCCGCCGGGCACCCGCAGGAACGCTAAGCTACCCATCAGCACTTGCAAATCGCGCTCGTGCTGCCGTGCCAACGGCGCGAGATGGGCGCGGGCGTACACGATTGCCTCGGCCGCCGCTGCGCGCTGCAGCAGCCCCACAAGGTGAAGCCGGTGTAGCTGGAAGTGCAGGGCCGTGCCCTGAAGTTCGTGCTGCTCCACCCAGTCGAGCGCGGGTCCCAGATCGCGCCGCTTCAGCGCGTCGAGGACGTTGTTGAGTTCGGCGAATGGCTCCTTCTGGGCGGACTCTAGACGTGCCTCGCGCGACAGTTCTTCGGCGATGTCCAGCATGCCCTGGCGCAGCAGGTGCTCCACGATCACCTGGTTGAGCGCCTTCTTCTTGTCACTCCGATCGAACACATCCTCGTTGCTTGTGGCCCAGAAGTCGGGCACGAAGTTCTGGAAATGTAACGTGCACCCCCATACGGTAAAGCCGTGGCAAATCTTAACCGACTCACCTTGTCTATGGCTTTGCCAACTTTAGACACGGTTCCGTGCAAATCTCGGTGCTCTGTCGCAAGCGAACTGCTCAGGTCCTTCATTTTCTGAGCGCACTGCGTGAGGGCTATGCCATGCGAAGTCGTCACGTCAGCGTCGGCAGGTACTGCGCAAAACAGAAATGTTAGCAGTTTCAAAGCGACAGCCAAGAGGTAGTTACCTTCGCCGAGCTCTCGGTACATTTCTTGTCCCTGGGCTATCAAGTCACTCAGCGTGGTTTGCGTGTGTTCGTTCAGAGTGCCAAATTTACTAAGCACTTTGTCAATCTCACGCTCAACAGCTAAACAAGACTCCATCGTGACTCAGTAGAGTGGTGGTGTTCAACGCAGTGATCGCTACTCGGTGCCTGCGCTGATGACCGCAACCGCACTATACACACTCCGTAGCCATTCTTTTAAAAGCTCCAGGAGTACACCTGCAAAGACATCACGACACAAAACACTCGACTCCACGATAGTTGCAGCAGAGGACGCTACAACAGAACACTTACAGCAAGATTACAGTCCTGACCAGCTGGCTTGTCGATGTCGATTGCAGCGGCCTGACACAACAAAACTATTTTTAAAAACAAATATATATATTTATAATCTAACTTATTTAAAACAATGAAAAGGTAAGTTTTATGCATGTTTAGTTAGTTTTATGCTTCTTAAATTGTTATTTAGCGCTATTTATTTTGCAGCTAATTATACCTGCAAGCGGCGTGCGGCTTCTTGGACGGTATTGGATTGCAAGCGCGCAAATTTCGCGCCGCTGGCCAACTGCACGGGAATCTTGGCACCTTGAGTGCATTTTTTTTCCTTATTGACCTTGTAAAATGTTTTACCATTTAATTTTATTCTTCTACTAGCACAAACATTTTCGGGGCCTATGCACATGTTGCACAGCTGCTTAAATCGCTGCACCAGCTGTGAACGGTGCAGGGACCGCCTCGGGGTCTGCAGCAAGCACCCGAATCGCACAAATTAATGGTAAGCTTTCTCTTCTATCTTGCTCGTCGTGTTGTTGTACTCGCAACGTGATTGCATGAATCTCGTCTGGCCTTCAAGGGAGGTCAAAGATCGATTGTATGAGATGCTAGTGGCTTCGCGGTTGCGTAAACAGCTGCGAGTACGTGTGGGAGCTTTCGGCGCGGGTAGTCACCCAGGAGACTTCGCTGCTGCCGGTGCGCATTGGTACGTACCGCTACCAGTCGCCGCATCGTGCCTGGTGGGCGGCCTTCATTTTTCGGCAACTCCTAAACATGCGCGAAGTTGACGACAGCTTTGTGATCCTCGATAAACGGCTCAATTGCCGCTGTAACCGCTGCAGATTGCATCCGAAATTCGGTATCTTTAGTTGTGATTAGTTTCAAATGATGATGTGCTGGGTCTCGTTTTCGTTTAGTCATGAATCGCTAATTAGAAATTCAATCGATGAAGTCGACTAATAGTTGTGCGAACAAGCCGAAGATGGATCGCGTCTTGAGCCGTGTTTTTTTTTTTTTTTTAAACAGGCGCAAAGAGACTATACATGGTGACCCCTGATTTAATAGAATCTCTCGCCGAATGCAGTACATTGATGTGAGATGGGTTTTAGCGTGTTGTGAATGTCGCAAGCAGATAGACGGTGATGACTCGCTTTCATAGCGTGTATCTGGGAGAAGGAGTTTCTCTAGATATTGTTTATTTCCTGGAGCTGCCTACACGGTTGCCTTCCGAAGTGGATGTCTTGCTCCGGAATATCTGAAACCATCCAACCCATCTATGTAAACAAAGAATTACATTCGCCCCCCTCTTTTCTTTTTCCTCGGAAATGTAGGCTTCGATGTTTTCGGTCATTAACCGCACGTTATCGTCCGCGTCGATGCTGTAATATCGTCTGCGGTCTCGGACGCGACACCGCATGCACGCTTCAGTGTAACCGCGCCTCTGATTACTCGAAGGAGGCGGGGCCGCGTTCGGCCGTGTCAGATTTGTCGTGCGCTTGGCAGATTTATCTGGTCGTCGCTCTGCTCCGTCGCGTCAGTTCTGCGAGTTTTAAAGCAGTCGACGTGGAGGACTTGGTAAGTACTGACCTTGCAGCATTTCTGGTGAGATCTGTGTGTTGGCTCGCGACCGTGGCATTCTTACACCATGCTTGCCTTTGATGTTTACTCTAGCGGTAACCACGCGACGGAACACTTGCGAACGTTATAGGTAGCTAGGGAAGCGCTCTGAAATAAACGACGAGTGCGGACTGTCCGTGAAATGTGATTCTGTTTAGCGTAAACTGAACGCAGAAACGCTAAAAGCAAGCGTTTCCGACGCGTGACCCGTGCGTCAGCTTATTGTGGGAAAGCAGTGATATAACCGCACCCAGGGAAAAATATATTTATGCGCGCTCTGTGTTCTCGTTACTGAAAGAACAATGCGCACTATTACGCAATTCGCATCCAGCTGCCTATATTCAAGCGTAGGTTCTGCGCAACTGTAGCTGGCGTGACTGTTTTTCTCCACCACCCCCCCCTCCCTCGACTGTTCTGGAATGCAAGAACGTAAACACTATGTTTCGCAGCGGCCGCGCCCTTAGCGTAGTTTTCCCTACATCTGTGCGCATGGTTGGATATTGTAAATCCTCCACATTTAGTTGGGCTTCCAGCCAACCGTAGTCAAGTCGGTTAGCTTAAGTGCGAGCATGCGCGGTCGGACTAGTCTAGAAATATTTTTCAGTGACTCTAAAGTAAGTAGTCCACTCAGCAGTGCCCTCTTTTGTCGCACTGCAACGTTAAAGCTGCTTTTCGCAATGTTTTCTCAACTTCCATAGCACAGTTAGGCAGCTACAAGATCCATTCTCGAATGTCTCTCTTTATTGTGCAATTTTAGCAGCAGTGTTTTTCTTTCTTCTTTTTTTTTCAGTCCAGTCATGGCACATCAGGTTGAAGACTAATTTCCTTGCCGCATAAGTGGTTACCGAAAAAAACAAAAACAAAAAAAGCTGCTGGCTTGAGCGACCTTGCATAATTGCCATAATTTCTAGCGGACCATTTGTTGTGGATCGTTGCAATAAGAAATGGTTGCCCAAGTCGCATATACTTCAAAACATTGATGTAATGCTTTTAAGCACTAGTTGGTGATCTTTTTTTACAACGGAACTAATTCTCAACTTTTACTTCGCGCCGTAACGCTGACCATTGTGTTTCGCACTCCTCGTTTCTGCATTTTTTTTTTACTAAATTTAATGTCGGTTGCGTTTGGAATTCTCTCAAAGGCCGCGGCATACATTATGCGTTGTTTTCCAAGCAGACCTATTATAACGGTCCGGATCGCTGACTTTCGTAATTTATAGCTGATACCGTAGTTATCCCATCCATTTTCATCTTTGCCTGCAGGTCACGCACAATATGGACCTTACATTCCCCAAACAAGAGCGAGATGCTTCGTTCAGTTCAACTAAGACTTCAGTCTAATCTCTAATGCATGATAACACAAAGAAACCGAGTGTTTTAAGCGGTATTTGTAATCCTGCCTGTTAAATAAAAAATGTTAGGATTTCGCGACGCATTGTGCTTGCAGGGACACTAAAGAGGAGAACTAATATTTCTCGCATTAGTCTATTATTATTATTATTATTTCGCTATACCTAAAGCCGCGAGAACGCTTTGTAAGCGAGGAGACGGGCAGAAGGAAAATTCGGCTAAAGACGCCACCTTGAAATTCCCGCACCCATCGCCTAGCCGTCGTGAATTTCGATGCCGTGTAATCGTGGAGTTTCCTAAAATTACCTAGAGGGCACTCTGGCGCTGCGATCGTTCAGTGACCATGGGAATGATGGGTAGTACGCACATTTGCCTAGTCTTCGTACTTGCGGGCGGCGAATCGCACTTGCGGCTTCGTTTATTGCTGTGTTTCGGTTTTGTTTTGAAAGAGAGATTGAACCCTTTTGATCTTCGTGAGCTGATTTGGAAAGTAACTCTAAAAAAAATATAATACTTGTTTCGTAAGTACTTGTTTCGTAAATACGCTAATACTTGTTTCGTAAGAAAACAGCTCCAAGCCACACGAACGCACACGGAGCCAAAAGCAGGCCAGAAGTACGAAAATTAGACAAGTGTGTGTACTACCCATCATTCCCATGCTCGCTGAAGCGCCGTGCGTTGCAGCTCCCATAGACGCTAGCGCCAGAGTTCGCTCTAGTGAGTATTGTGGGAAACTCTATGCGTGTAATAGGGCGTACGTCCCTCTTTGTCGGTAAAAAGGAATTACATTGGCCTTCCAGACGGCCGGATACTTAGCATATCAAGTTTCCAAAAATTTCGGAGAGCCCCGCCGTGGTAGTCTAGTGGCTAAGGTACTCGGCTGCGGACCCGCAGGTCGTGGGATCGAATCCCGGTTGCGGCGGCTGCATTCCCGATGGAGGCGAAATCGTTGTAGGCCCGTGTGCTCAGATTTAGGTGCACGTTAAAAAGAGCCACAGGTGGTCGAAATTTCCGGAGCCCTGAACTGCGGCGTCTTTCATAATCATATGGTGGTTTTGGGACGTTAAACCCCACATATCATCAAAATTTCGTAGAACCAATATTAGCAGCATGCGAGGAAAAAAAAAAGAAAAGAAACATTGAAATTCCTGGCAACACCTGAGGGGATTACGGCGCGAAATTAAAAAAATAGGTACTTTAACCTCGAGTTTCTTTAGCGTTAACAAACCTGCGGTGATTACATAATGACGGTATAGTTTCTAGAGTATAATTTATCCGTTAAACTAACTCAATGTCTCGCTTTTAGTGTCCCTTTAAGGTGGACCATATTTCTACAAAATGTCTTGTAACATGTTATTTTGACACCGTTGTGAAGCACCATAACCCCCGTGGTGGTCGGGCGGCTGCATTCTCGACGGAGCCGAAAAATGCTTGAGGCTCGTGTGCTTAGATTTGGAAGTGTGGCAGCTTGGGCTAGTTGGTATATGGCAAGACGATAGTTATAGCGCGAGAACAAAACGACGACACAGAGACAAGAAGGACACGAAAGACGCTCGTCTCTTTCGAGTCCTTCTTGTCTCTGTGTCGTCGTTTCGTTCTCGCGCTATAACTATCGTCTTAGATTCGGGTGCACGTTAGAGAACCCCAGGTGGTCGAATTTCCGCAGCACTTCTCTACGGCGTCTCTCATAATCATATATGGCGGTTTTGGGACGTTAAACGCCAACAATTGAATACTTTTCGAAAAGTGCCTGAAAGAGGCAGCGCCACGCTTTCGTGCCCTTATTATTATTATTATTATTATTATTATTATTATTATTATTATTATTATTATTATTATTATTATTATTATAGTTGGGAAAATGGTACGAAGTGCAGATACCTTTAGCTTCGTGCACTTATTTATGCTGTAGTTGGCCAGTCATTTTTGTTTTTAAATTTAATCTCGATCGTGTGTGGAATTACGCTCCCCACGTACATGAAATGTTGCGCCGCTCTTAAAGCTGAATAATCTATGTATACTTTCTACAGCGCGGGAATACGTAAATACGCAGGCTTTAATCACTCTATGTAATTTGAATTTTGCCGGCGTATAACTAATATAACGTGCCCCTTATTCCCGCCAAATGGAAACAGTATACGTAATGCCCAGTTCCATTTAGACCGTTGTGTAACTTGGCGAGAAAAATCGACGCGCCACACGAACGGTCGTCAATGTAATTAATTTTAGAGAGGAGGGATGGGGCTTTTGTTTTGTTTTTCCGCATGACTCTCGTGAACATGCGACATCTTTGAGCTAGAAAAGCAAGGAGAGTGGGTGAGGAGGTATTTGAAGCTCCAGGAAGTTCGGCATGGTACCACCGGCACGCTGGGAGCAATTTTTTCCGAAATTATAAAACCACTATTTCTCCCAATGTTAGTGCAAGAACGGTGTGTTAGCGTGATGAATCTAGTGGCTAAGGTACTCGGCTGCTGACCCGCAGGTCGCGGGATCAAATGCCGGCTGCATTTCCGATGGAGGCGGAAATGCTGTAGGCCCGTGTACTCAGATTTGGGTGCACCTGAAAGAACCCCAGGTGGTCGAAATTTCCGGAACCCCTCCACTACGGCGTCTCTCATAATCATATGGTGGTTGAGGGACGTTAAACCTCACAAATCAATCAATCAATCAATCAATCAATCAATAAATCATGCTTTGGAGGCTTGCTACGCTGGAAGAAGCATTCGTGTCTGTCAATCGTCACCGTTTTACTTTCCTGGCAGTAAGCCTGACTCGTAACGTAAAAAAAAAAGTCAAGGTGACTGTGTTTCTTTTTCTGCTACGTTCTCATCAACAGGCGTGCGCGCGTGTTGGTGAGAACGTAGGAGAAAAATAAAAACATTCCTCATCAAAAGTCCTCGTCGGAAGAGAGACATCCTTGTCATTCACGGCGCTAAATGGAGGCGAGTGCTGTGGTATGGTGCGCTGCGGTGTAGTTGCCCTGCGCCTAGCCGGAAAGCGCACAGCTGTTGCACGAGCAGTAACCACGGAGTAGCGGACAAAACGCCATTTCCTTTTCGTGGTTGGGGCGAGTTCACGTCGCCGGGCGGTACTACTCTTCTCGCCGTTCGGATACTGGGTAATTGCCACTGTTCACCCACTTCTTTGCACTTCTATGTGGAAGTTTAAACATGGACGTAAACATGAACATGAACGCTTTCAACATTCTGCTGAAAGAAAAATCGGTATTTAAGGAAATCTCCCTTCCCTGCCCCTAGATGCATCTGCTCCTAACAGCCGCGCTTGTTGCCAACCGGAACGTATCAGAACATGGTCAAGTTTTATTTAAGAATGGTTAAGTTTTATTTAAAAGAAAACGAATATGTGTGCATCCATGATCATCATCATCGGCGAACGTAAACATTTACGTACGAACGTAAAGGTTCCCGTATATGTAGCAAAACGCTGCTAAAACTCGGGCGCCGGTACCACGGTAAACGTAAACCGGTAACACGGTAACGTAAAGAAGTATACGTACAAGCTAAAACTCCCTAATGTTTCATCCGTATACGCACGTGACTGCGTTGCGGGGCAATTTGTTGTTTTGAAAAGGAAGAAGATGTCGTAAGAAAGCGTAGGGTCGCCTGTGTCGACAGTTTCGATGGCCCAGCCCTCTATTAGTATCACTATAGTTGCCGTTGAAAGATTATAGTAAATGTTGATAGGTGAAATCTCGACCCTCATGCAGTGTAGTCGTCCGGTTCGGAGTCCTGATTGAAAAAAAAAAAATGAATCACTTGGGGTTTGAATCCACGGGACGGACAGCAAGGCGTCGCTGATCGAATTCCTCGTTCACTCACCTTTGTGGCGCCTCGTTGACGCTCGTCAATTCCATCGCTGCTGCCAGCTTCGTGTGCACCGCTCATTCTGGTGAGTGTTGTCGCGCCTCTCTCTTCCAGCGAGGCACGCGAAAACCAGGCGCGCGCCGGCGGGCAGTATATACGTCACCGCCGCAATCTGCTCCTGTCGGTGGCTCGATTTTCGTTTTATCCCTTGCTAATCTGGGAAATAACGCGATCGAGCGCCGGTTTACGATGGTGGAAGCTGGACTGTGGTCCCGGCAACCGCCGATCGGGGTCGGTTGCTGCGCGACACTTGCGCAAACCAACATCTGGCGAACGCTTGCCCCCGTGAGTCATGGCTCCGTCATGTTACCCAACTGCGGAACGGGCCAGATGAAAGTTCGCTGCTGGATTAAAGGGCGGACAGCGCCAGTTTCGTCGAAAAGGGCCGACTTAAAGTGGCACTTTTCGTCGAAATGCGCGAATGAGTTTTTTTTTCTCGCGACAAAATTAAGGGGGCATTTCTTAATGAAGCGGTCGTCCGATTCGTCAGCCTGCATGGTTAGTGTACCAAGCGCACTAAGAGCGCGGTGTCGATTGCGGAGCAAGACATTTCAATCAACCCTCTCAATTGTGTTTTAGGACAACGGGTGTACATGAAACTGAATATTCTCATCAAATTGAATGGAACCGTTCCTTCTTGCCGCTATTGAGTCTAAGGTGCGACAAGCGAATTTTCTCAAAAGTGTAGCGTTCCCACCACCAGCGGCACACAGGTCGCTCGCTGGTGATGAGATTGCCAAAAATAACTCGTATTTCCGCAAACAAAGCGCCAAGCTCGTGGAGAGAGGCGATGCCAAGCAAGCACGCGGGCACAAAAGCAGCGAGTGCAGCTGCAAACGTCGCGATCAATTCGCAGCTGCGTCGCAAGCAGTAGCGAACGCGCGTCGTTATGCGAACATTCGCGCATAGCGGGGCGCTAGAAGCCACTAGGCGCAGCACCCCCCCCCCCCTTCCATCCCGCCGCCACTTCGATCACCTGTTGCGCCTTGCAGCCACCTGTTCGCCGATATCTGGCGTTCGCGCAGCGGTCGGCGCCGGTATTCGTGCGAAGACGAACGTTTCCGGGCCCTTTGAGGACCCGACGAGGTCTCCGGCGTTCCTAGACGCCCTGGATCCGGACCACGGGTGCTCGAGCGACCAGGCATAGCCTCCTATATTTTTTTGTGCCCGCGCATTAGCGCTAAATACATACGCGCCATCCGTCCCTTATAGTTTTGGCGCTCGCCGCCAGATGCCGCACCGATCCCATAATAACAGCAGACGACGCGGCCTATGCACGCTTGCGTTTATGACGGTCTAGAAACCGTCTACATTGCATTGGATTATGCGTATACGTTAAGAAGTGCGCACACACCAAATTTTTAACACAAGCACTGTATGCAGAATGCAATGTGAGCTTTGTTATTTGATTTCGCGCTCAAAGCTTGAGCACTTTTCGAGACAATGGTTTGACATGAAAATCTTTTGCCAAGTCGTGTTTGTCAGTCACACTCGTCGCGAAGTTCAGAAAAAGTGGGCGGAGAAACTTCACGAGCACAACCTCCAAAAGTTTTTTATGATGTCCCGGGGTCGAGCACTTGAGTTTGTCACGTTTCTGTAGTATTTGCGCGGCGTTGTCAACGGCAGCCTTCAGTGGCTGATTCATCTTTCTCGCTCTTGCGAGGAAAACTTCCGCGTAATTCTTTAGAGAATTTAGAACCATTACGAGCTCAGTTGACGGATACAGGAGTCCACCTCTGTCCTGGTGCCTAATTAATGCATCCGATGGCGCAGAGGTGTTTGGTGCATGTGCATTGTTCTTCTTCTTTACTGAATCTTGCTTTATAACTACGCGTTCTAAGGCAACCCGATCCTCGCTTCAACAGTAAAGCGCTTCCCCTTGAATTATCGTAAAATGCCTCCCTCCTTATTTCATTTTTGCCCTTTCGGTAGTTACTCAAAGCCGGTTTTTTCTCCATAGCTGCCATCCATTCTCTCGTTTTGCGCCTCGGCGCTCCGCCAGGAGCGCTCGCATCCCATAATAGCTCGGGGGACGGCGCTGAGGGACCGACCGCTCGGGCACAAAGTTATAGAGGAGGCTATGCGCGAGATCACGGCGCGAGGTAGTGACTCTACAGAACCCCTCGCGTGGTGAAGGTGTATTGTACTGTGGTCGCCACGGATGAAGGTGGTCGTCGCCATGGTGGTCGCTGACTGCCAATATGGCTAGATGATTGTAGCCATATTAATGTGATAGATAAATGGATAAGTGGATTGATATGGCTGTACCCTTTAAATTGAGCGGCGGCTAACGCCACCTAGCCTAACCAACGCAATTATGGCCAACGTTACTAGATACTTTATCTAGTATCTAGTAACGTTGATTATGGCGACACACCGCATGACCTCTGAAATTGCCACCCGTCATTGCGCGTTTGCCATCTCAAAGGCTATGCACAGCGTCACCATTTCACAGTAATGGCATTCATTGTTTATATATTATTTGCTGTGAGCTCTAAAAAAACTACCCTCTAAGGTTGTAAAAACATAAAGTAATTGTTTCTCAAATAAATATTTTTGTTTCAAAAACTAAGTTGCGTCGTGTTGAGGAAGAAGTCGTGGACTCGTGGTGGCATAAACTACTTGGGAGATCCAGAAATGGCACTGCCATCGTCATCAATAGCAAGTTCGTGGCGACCTAGGTGCGTGTGTAGTGCATGTGAACATTGTTGCGTCTCTTAATTGCTCAGTATCGCGCCTGTACACTCACAATTCTCCAAGATGTTTGGTTTCGCGATGATAATTAAAAATTAATAGTACATCAATACTGTCACGGGGTCGTGACGTGGCCAAAGACAGGAAACTTCGTGTTGGGATTTAACTGTTTATTTGGGCAAACCTGTGCCCGGTAAAGGGAAAGTCTAATTACAGCAGCAGTCTTGCACAGATAGCAGTCTCGGACTGATAGCGGCGAACGCAGCGTCGGCCTTCGATCAACAACTGACAAGCGGCGAAGCGCGTCGGCATTTATACTCTTGCCGTCGAATGTTCTAGCGTTGTCGCTGGCGGTGGCGTAGGTTCCAGAACAATCTGTACCGTTCGCACAGTGGGCTGTGAATCTTATCGAAATGATCTACTACAGTCCGGAATCTTCTCGAAAACTGCAGGCGCGGTTTGCGCTGAGAATCGTGTGGTGTTTTGGGACGATAACAAAAACTTAGGAAATGGAACGTGGCAATACGAAGGATACAGGCAATTTTGATCCTCACAAGTGGTACCGGGTGTTCTGGAAGGATAACACACACATCACGCTCAAGTGATTAAGCTTTACGGTAAGTCCGCGCCTCTTGTATTCCCAATACGAAAACAACGAGGGAGAAGCAGTCGTTCTGAAGTTATTTACTGGTCACCGAGGATGATGCAAGGAATGCAACAGAAAAAACGACCATTCATTCCGCAGACACGATTGTGACTCCTCCGATAGCTGCACTTCAAATGAAGTGGACAATGAGTCGTTTAAAAAAGTAAGTTGCAATTGGTCACACTGCAGCTGATATGCTACTTGCAGCGTAATTATTACCGACAGCCAAGTTTGGCTATCGTTGACATTGCGGCTGATGTGCTACTGCGGCGCAATTACAATCGACAGCCAATTTTGCTCTGCACGTGGTGCCGTGTCACACATGAAGCACCGATGCTCTGATATACTCCCCGCCCCCTTAGCGAATATATCAGAGCATCGCTGCTCCATACTGCGCGGGCGCCGGAAACGTCGTATTGAAGGTGTTAGTAAAGTTGCAGTATGCTGAAGAGCTATTTTTTTATTCTATCGTGGTATGAGCGCAGCTTAGTCACATTTTTTTGTACATTGACTGGTTTAAATTATCTTTGCTTGTGTGGATATACGCCCTGTTTGTGCTTGCGAACTAGCAGTTGAAATTTGTGTGTTGGGTTGTCTGCAGTTGTAAGAAACACGACGTCAAGCTGCTGTTAAGCAGAAGACAAAGCACGTCAGCAACCGTTTTAAGAAGCAGCAGGGAGGCCTGCTGTTTGCTATGCTGAAAAAAAAAGAACAGAGAAAGGGCTTCTGAAAGAAGTGAATATATATGCTCAGGGCTCAAAATACAAAAGCATTAGAAAGAATAAGCCTACTGGAAAATGCCCTTCGCAGCAAAAATTTCCAAACAGGTTTATCATTTCTTCGTAAGCTGTTGTAATGCACTGCTGCTAGGGTTGTATGCAGCAGCAAGTTGCCCTATTCTTATAGCGTGCAATTTGCTGAAAAGCAGAATGCAATGTAAGCTCATGGGTGGCATGGATGCATGCATGTTTTTTAATCACTTGAAAATGTGCTTTTACAACTTTCACAGTGTGGTGGATATTAAAAAGAACATCATTTGGTCAAAATTTCTTGAGCCCTCCACTACGGCATCCCCTATAATCACACTATGGTTTTGAGACGTGACATGCTACGTATCATTACCCTTTAATTGCATAGTCAACTGCATGCTATGTTTATCATATATATTATTTGACCATGCAGACCTAGGATGGTACCGTGACAATTAAGGGTGCAATATACTTTATTTCTGCACACTCTACTTTTTCATTGCAGCAAAGAACCTTGTCCTTTGCGGGCTGTTGCAGCCGCAAGCCTCAAGACAGAAACGACTTGCACCTTTGCCACACTATGTGCTGCCACGCTGGAACCACCACAGCGACCACGGACAGCCCTGAAGTAGCCCACTCAAGTGTGAGGGAGGCTGCACTGCTTATCAATTACGTGCCCACTGACAGGGAGGTATCATAAACTCTAGTATGCTTTGTTTTGAAGATATATTGCTTTGCTTTAATGAGAAAATGTGCATTGACAAACTAATGCGTGCACATCATCTTTGACTTGTTTTATAGGTGCATCGGAGCAAAGGAATTGCCGTTCCCAAGAGGTTGTACAATCACCCCATGAGCTTGAAAAGATGGACCCGTTTGTTCGTGAGGCGGCCGTTACCATTTTTTATACAGCAGGCCAAGTCGGTAGAAGTGTTACGGGCGCAGCCCCAATCGGTCTAAAGGGGAGGCGAAATCTCCCTAGGAGAAAGTAACATATGCTGTGTTTTCAGGTAGGTGAAATTTTGCAACCTGATCAAAATTCATGGAAGTTGGGGGCTCCATTTTGCACGTAATCAGCCGAGGTTTCACTGCCAACTTGTGTTATAATTACTTACTAAAGCTTCAAGTGTAGCTTTTACCTACTGGAGCTGGGTACTTTTATGCAAGAATCCACAAACTAATTTTAAACAATATTAGAGAGGCAGACTGGTAGAACTCCTACTATTTCCTTGTCATATTGACTCCTCTATTTAGAGTGCACATAATTGTCGCTTAATAAGTGCCTGTAACTTGCTTTGTTTTTGATTATGCAGATTTCTTCAACCATTTTTTGAAGCACACCGTTCTGATTGGAGAGGTTGAGCAAATGAAGAAGCTCCTCAATAAAGCTTTGGCAAACAAAATTAATGACTTTATGAAATCAAAAGATTAACCAAGGAATGGCACATCAAATAAAATATTTTGTATGATTTCGTGTTTCATACTTGTGTCCTGCTTGTTCAAATGTAGCGGTGCACCTGCCAGTTGGCTAAGCACAGATTTGCTTGTGGGCCTATCAGAGTAGAATGCTACACTTATAGGCTGGCGCACGAGTACTGGTACACTGATAGACTGGTACACTGGTAGATTGGTACACTGATAGACTGGTACACTGATAGACTGATACACTCATAGACTGATACAACTGTCAATAACCTGATAGCCTATCAGTTTTGCTATCAGGCCCCGCCGCGGTGGTCTAGTGGCTAAGGTACTCGCTGCTGACCCGCAGGTCCCGGTTCGATTACCGGCTGCGGCGGCTGCATTTCCGATGGAGGCGGAAATGTTGTAGGCCCGTGTACTCAGATTGGGTGCACGTTAAAGAACCCCAGGTGGTCAAAATTTCCGGAGCCCTCCACTACGGTGTCTCTCATAATCAAATGGTGGTTTTGGGACGTTAAACCTCACAAATCAATCAATCAGTTTTTCAATCAGAATTTTCCTAGGGCGGCATCAAGGAAAACCGCTTCAGTGTCGTTGAGTAGCTTTGGCTAATGCGTTGTGCCTGGCTTTACACCGTCCT